AGAAAGTCAATTCCGTGTTTCGTGGAGAAAAGGGGATTGGCGCTAGGCCCCCGGTCTATACTACTAGCTACTACGGCTGCCGCCAGGGCCCGAGAAATGCGACCCAAGGCAGAGCAGGACAAGTGAGTTCTGTTAGCTGCCGGTGAGTGTGCATCAAAGAACACGCACGTTAATTGGACATTCACAATGACGGCCCTATATAAGTTCTCTCGACGTCTTCTGCGACATTCATGTGAACATTGGGTGGGCCACTTTCAATCGCACTTGGCAAACGTCTCCAATCTGTCCTCTTTGATAAAGCATATTCAAGAGCCGAATTGGGTACAATGAATCTATCGTTAAAGCAACACAACAGGCACCAAAATAACAGCAACAAAGTACACAGTCCGCATCCATAACGGCGAAAGAAATACCCTACGCATCCCCTTCGAAAACGCAAACGTTTCAGAACAACCGCAAGCAATTTCACATCGCATTTTTGTGTATTTTTCTGCAATTAGCGGTCTGTAGCCAACTTTTGATATTGGGGCGTGAAAATGAAGATAACCTATGACAACTACAATATGCGGACTATCTAGCTGAGGAAAGCTATAGCTACTCGGAAGACGACACGTCATCGGTCTGGAAAATGTGATTAAGATGACTTAACAATCCTGGCAAAGCCTCCAAAAGTAGTGTGGACGTTAAAGGCAATCCAACACTACAAAAACAATTGAGCAGAGTTATCTCTGTAGGACAAATAAAAGCGGCTAAAATAACGAAACCATAATAGATTGCAAGTACGGAATCCACCAATACGGATACGATAAGCTGACTGCCCAGGCAGAATTTCCTAAGCAATCATATAGAATCCACCAGAATGACTACCAGGCACACTTACTTATTAGGAGAGGTTTGGTAGATTTGAATAATGTTGTGCTCATGTGTGTTCGAATCCCACGAACTTTTCCCAATTGGGTCAACTGAGTTCTTTAAATCTGCCAAACTCCTTCCAATAATTAAGTGTGTCTAGTGTCAGTCATTCTGATGAATTCCAGATGACTGCTTCGGAAATCCTGCCTAGGCAGTCAGCTTACTGTATCCGTAATAAATTGATCAGAGGAGGAAGGTTACTAGCAGTACTAGAACTCTAGTTGGGCCGTAGGTGGAGATGAATAGCGACTACAGGAAGTTATGGCGAGTAAACTGCTGTCTTGTGTGGTAGTCAGGTGCAAAGATTGAATGAGTAGGCAAATCGTGATCACTAAATTTAGCAAATCACTGTATGAAGCGAATGCTTCTTTTATGATAGTACATGAAAGCAGACAAATTAAAAACAAATCAACAAATATTTATTTCAGTTGGTAAACAATTTCGAACCGACGTTCGGCTCGCAGACCACACGACTCGCAGAGAAACGTATAAAGGAACTTGCGGAGGGAATAAATGCCTGTTGCAAAATGACTACGATAGGCTTCTGTCACACCATCGAAAATCAGGAAATCGTGCTGTATTGGTTGGTACTTCAGAGGTGTTATAACTCGTTAATTCGATAATATCTTCGAATAAATTGGTTTCGTTCACTTTACTGAAAAAAATGTAAGTTAATGGTAAAAATTGTTACATCAAAATGTTACTCATCC